CCCCAAAACCCCAAAACCCCAAAACCCCACTATTAAAGTTTTAAAAATTTTGAAGAAATTAATAATAAATAAATCAAATTGGAGCACCAAAATCATGATTATGGTAAGGATCGAAACCATTTAATGAGTACTTAGATATATCCCTTTTTTCAGCATTAACCTTGCATCTATATAAAACTTTGAAAGGGCAACCTCCTTCTAATATATCTAAATAGTTTTGATCTTCTACGGTCTAAACTTGATATTTTTTCTTTTTATATTCACAGTAAAATCTAAGCACCCTAAACCCATCCTTTTTTGCAGTTTCAGACTATAAGATAGGAAAAAACCCTAGCTATCCTCCAAACACTTTTAATCTCCAAATAACCTAAAGCCTAGTATTTTCATCAAAGTCAAATCTCTTAAAAAAATTAGGAGTTAATTAATGGTTGGCTGTGTAGCCATGTCTCTCAGTTGGAGCGAATCTAGAGTCAGTTAACAGCAATTGCACTTCATCATCATTAGGTATTTAATCTATTTCAAAGTTTTACCGAGATTTATCTTTTAGTTATTAAAAGCCAATTGTCAGAACTTTAGCAAAATCCAGATCATCTAGTTTTTGTGTGAAATTAAGTGGGTATCTTATCATCTTAATTAGCACTTGATTGGTTTGTTAAAATGTCATACTATCATTAATAATTATCGTAGGTCCATATTGTGGTAACCGCTCATTGTTAATCTCAGGAGTTTATAATGATAATATTTAGGATTAAGTTAGAATCGATTAATTAGAGTTATTTTGAATTGCAATCTTAAATTCATTTTGCTATTCTGATTATTTTTATTTACCTTCAGCTACGTCTTTTTTAATAATATCATTTTCAATTTTAGTAGAAAAACTTAGTTGGCTTTATTACTAAAACATAGTTTCTTTAGGTTTTTAGGAAACTAGGCACATTTATTATTTTACTAGACTCAGAGTTTGGCACATTTCCTAAATCTCATCTGTTTCTATATCAATAAGCATAGGCTCCGCTTAATAATTTTTTGAAATCTTTTCGCTTCTAAATATTTTCCTGTTATCAATATTGCTTTCCTCTCTGACAGTTATGTTAGTCTTTTATTCCTCCTCTATATCAATTTAATTGCTCATTTAATTATTCTAGTTCGCTAAATTTTATATTTAAATTTAATTTACAAGATTGTTTTGCTTTATTTAACGTTTTATATCAAAATTAAGCCTTTGGGGTTTTGGGGTTTTGGGG